AAAAAAAAATAAATATAAATATTCTAAATACGTGTGGAAACTTTGGAAACACAATTGCAATAATAGAAGTGATATTTTTGAAATATCGACTGATTTTTGCAGCTGGTGGATGAAATATTATTTAATTTTTGTATAACGGTATAATTCAGTATCCCGGCAAGCAACTACAAATCTAATATCGCGGTAACCTTCACACCAATTCTAAACTTCATTCAAGAAATAACCTTGAACAGTATATAATATCTTCTGGAAAATTGTTTAGAAATCAATTAATTTGTATTGTAGTAAAAACATCGAATTCTTCAATTTGTCCCCTTTTGCATTTTAAATCAAAGAAGAAATCCATTGAAAACATTTCGAAATGTCATATATAATGTTTCGACGTGTTACGTCAATTCTGAAGTTCTGAGAAATAGACTTACATGATCTCCGAGAAAAAAGTGCACCTTGTAGTCACTTGTATTTCATACATTTAGATCTTATTTATACGGTTTGCAGTTTTAATTGTCTCTTTTTTCGAAGTAATTTTCATTGAAATATGAGTACGATAATCCTAGGTTGTTTTCATTATATTTTTGCATCAAAAGATTTCAAATTTAGAATTGGATTTCAATGTATTGAATACACTTCTACTTTTTGAAAAATTATATTTACAGTGATGTAAAATATAGTTATCATCTGTCATTTTCACATTCATTGAAAGTAAAGTGGACGATTGCTTACACGGTAGGATTTTAGATCTCTACCATTTCTTTATTAATAAAACCATGAAATATAATAACAGAACAATATGTGTGAAAGCTATTTTCCGGATTTTTTTGCCGTGGTCAGACCACGGTCACAAACCGAACAAAAGGGGGAGAAGGGAAAGTGCGTACAAGTTACTTCAAAATAGCCCCAAAGAATGAATGAACGAATTAATGAAAAACGTTTATTGATCAGTTTTGTACAAAATAAAATAACTAGTGGAAATTGACAAAAGTGTTTTTATTCATTTCATTGAAGTTACAAAATTCAAATTATAGTGTGCTTGTTTGTGGGGCCCCTTTTATAGGATTATGACTCTTCACGGTCGGGGTTAGTTTACAATAGTTTTTGCGGGGTTTGGCTTTATTCTTATTCTGTATTAGTACGTCTCGATTTTGTTGGTAGTTACTTTCAAAATGGTGACAACGCACTTAGTCTGAGTTAGTGGACCTTCTCATGATCCTTGTGCGTCGAAATTCATGCTCCAGTTGGCGTCGTTCTCCATCTTCTTGGTTGGGCAGAGTGGTCCGGGTACAGTAGCATAGGTCGGTCTTCGACAGGTTTTTGGTTCTGATGTGGTCTTGGGTGAGGTTTGGGTTCAGATTTCTGGTGTTGCTCCGGGAGTCTGGCTGCGGGAAACGGGAGCTTATTCCTCGGGATCCTTTTGATGGTTGTATATGGCTTCCAGAGAGTATACAGCGTGTCTATCGTAGCGGTGTGGGTGCTGTTGAGTGTTCGATGGACGTATCGGCCTCGGAGTTCCTGGAATCTCAAGTTGATGGGTGTGACTTTGACAATATCATATATTTGGTAAGAAGGAAATATGTGGGGAAGGTTGTGGATGTTACGGATGATTCTTCTCACGGTTGTCTAGGGGGTGATAGCGCAGTAGACCAAGGCTTTATAGTCCATGATCATTGTTACAAACATTTTATATGTGTGGCGCCCCTCTCGAACTTGTTTCCTTGCGCTTTTAGGAAATTTGTTCTTTTCCAACCCTCTCCAGGGTCTCGTGTAGGTCGGTCGCCCAATTTAGAGTCTTCGTTAAAATTATCCCCAATTTGGAGGCCGAGTCTTACGTCGAGATTTTCTCACAACAGGCTGAGGTGCAAGTTGTTAGTGGTTAGTCTTGGGTGAGTTGTGGTGTTTGGGTGTTTGAAAAGGATGGTTTGTGTTCTGGTGCGGTTTATTTTGATCAGCCACTTACTATTATGGTATGGGTTTGGGTTTGTAGTATTTGGTGTTTGGGTGTTATAAACCTTACTAATAAGCGGAGGTTAATAGTTAGGTTTATAACCGGAGGTTATTAGTAGGGTTTATCACCTGATAAAGCTAGCTTGATTGGTGAAATGCGTGTCAAGAATAGTACTGCAATTCTGATTTGTGCGAGTAGTGTGTTTATGTTGGACAGTGGACACATGTAATAATTAACAATTTGCTAAATTTCTTGTCAACCCAGTTTAATTGTTCTTATAAATTTTATCAAGTTTATTTTCTATTAATTTGAAGAAGATTCATGTTCAGTTCGATTTCAGGTTGCATCTTTAATGTAGATGAAAAAAGCGAGAATCAGGGTGTCATAATATTTTTCTTCGTCTATACGTGTGAATATGGATAACGTCACGTTGGGTCAAATTGTTCCCAATTTTTCTTATATTTAATGCTGGATTTTTTGTAACTGAATTCAGACACTACCAAAATTTCTGCTGTTCTCCATGCAGTGAGTCTTTTTATGTGATGGTCTGGTTCAAAACTTTTCTTTTCGTACAACATCCTATGAATGTTGTTATTCTCATTCTTATGAATGAGGTATTTATTTTTTATACCATGACATTTGAAATATCTGCGCGCCGCTCTTACGGTAAGAAGCACAACATTATTCAAGTGAAAACTGAAAATATTGACTCAACTATTTATTTAATAGAACTGCAATAATTCAGAAGAAGTTCACACTGGACGATTTGAAGATTGGTTTAGTAGAAATTATTATTATATAAGTAGATAACAGATTTTACTATTTGATACAAATATTACAGTAGGTAACTTAATACAGCACTGCTTTAATCGTTAAATCTATTTTGTGTTTTGTTGACATTATGAAGGGCTTACGGATGAAAATCTCGGTACAATCAAAAACAACCGAAAGTCTACCAATAACACGGGAAATCGAAAGAAAATAGAATCGGAAACCACTAATGTCATGACACGAGTAATAATAGAATTGGAAAGTTCAAAAACTTACAATTACTAAATGACGAATTTCAATGGTAATCTATTCAAATTTCAATTGAGAGTTTTTTTGACGGTTTTTACTTTCAACAAATAAGTATAGACTTTTCAGAAAAAATCGCATCTGTTTTATAAAGATTATTTATGATAAATCAAAATAGTTGCCTTATAAAGAACAATATATTAGATAAAAATGCATCTATTTTACTGATGATAAAAAGATTATCAGCAATTAGATACAATTTTCAAACAAAAAATTATAATGTTAATAAGGAAACGTTTTTATAAATTATTTGCAACTGCAATAATAATAGTTCAACTGACTACTTCACTGAAATATTAATTAACAACTTTTCAACAATAAAGTTGAATATTCGAAAATATAACTTGACTCTACTTTAACTTGGATCCGTATAGATGTGTGCCAGGTCGATCTTCAACCGAATACTACTACAAATCAAATACGATGTTTTTGAAACACTTAATAGAGGAGTGTTGAAGCATAAACTCGTTATCTAACCCTATATGAGTTATAGCCGGAAAAACAATCAACATACTCAGAAATGGATATTTCTGTTTTTTTTACAACTGACTCAGCGCGTTACCATCAGTAAGTCCATGCTTGTAATAAATATCTGCAAACACAAAATTCGTAGAATGGACCATTTCAGTGACTTGAACACGTGGTTACTAGACTAGGTAGACAACTATAAAAACTTATGTTCACAAAACAAAATCTTTTATCTACTAGATACGTTTTCAATCCTTAATAGTAATAACCCACATTAAAATTCAAATGAATGAATTTAATTGTAATGGGAAAACCACACGTCAACCAAAAAATAAATAAATCAATAGACCAGATGGGCTTGAAAAGGATTGTGGATTTCAATACAAGTTTTTTTTAAAGAAAAAGCAATGGCGTATTACTTTCTCCAGTTCAAATCTCTAAGGAAAAAAACCTCTAATGCAAAATTATAAAAACAAATTTAACCACCCTGTAGAGCAAAAGTTAAGAGCATAAGTACAAATATTTGTATGAAGTTCAAAAATATAAACATTTTATCAATAAACACCACTTGAAATTCAGCTGTTGCAATTTTATTTTACAAATGGGTTTAGCCAAGTTTCAAAAGGGTTTAATTCAACACTTTCACCTATTAAAGACAGAGGACCCACTCATTATTTCTGTCTGCAACCACTTGTTTCATCCACTTCGAAGCTACTCATTTGGAAGAAATTGCATCCAATCTGAATCCAGTGGCGCACACAAAATTAGGTTTTTTACGGTTGAACCTCTTTGGTACCTTCTCGAAACAGAACCAAATTTTCAAAATTATTTTGAATGTTTGTAATAATACAAAGTCCAAATAACCTGGTGAAAATAATATATAGAAGAAAAAGATTTTGGATTTGAAGAATACTTTAGGAAATGAAAGATTCTATTATAAAAACTCCGGAGTTGAAAGCCTTTCTATCTTACGGTAGTTCTCCATTATTTCAAGGAAATATCATAAACAAGAGATTTTATACTTTATCACGCTATAGTTCAAATGTTAATACCTTCAGAATATATGTTCATATATACGTAGCCTTAACTATTAGCATATTGATGGATGTAGCCGTTACTACGTGGTAGGAAATCATAATAAATAAAAGAGAAATGAAACTTTCTATGTTTTTACCACTTTTATTAGTAACTAACGTTACTGCAGTTTCGTCCTATACGGACATTTTTCATTGTATAAGTTTGAAAATGTCCGTATAGGATGAAACTGCAGTAACGTTAGTTACAAATAAAAGTTGTAAAAAACATAGAAAGTTTCATTTCTTTTTTCTTCGTTAGCATATTATTAAGAAACACCATAAATTTATGATGAAGGTATGTTGGATAAACATTTTCATTTTAATATTTCATTGATGTGCTGCTACTATTTCACAATTAAAACCATGTCTTGAATTTATTTATTTCAGAATAAACAAATAATATGAAACTGGAATCTAATAGGAGTTCTTTTTTACAGGTGTTGATGGAATCGCAAAGTCCAAACCAAGCCTTTGAAGCTCTCCGGTGATCATGGCTAACACTGCTGCTGAGAACGAAGCAGATTCAGGCAGTGGTGTAGCGACAACGCAAGCGACACCGGAAGTAGCGACGACACAGGAAGAAGATGCAGATCAGAATGATGCTGAACAAGTAACGGGATCTAATACCTGTTACGATTCAAGCGAAGGCTCATTCAAGTGCAATAAATGTGAATTCGAAACGACAACACAGCCACTTTTGACAGTTCATATTACACAAGGTAGGTTATCAGGTACATTCAAGAATACACATATTTATTTTAAAATTAGATCCATTCATTGCATTTCTGCTTACAGCCTCACCCTGTTATTCTGTCAATGCTTGAAATGTATTCATTATATGCCTCACTATCTCTCATCATATAACAAAATGTTTTAACAGTTTCACCCTGCATACAATATGTTATTGACAATAATATCAGATAATTGAAACCATTCACGAGGTTTTATATATTTGCAATTTTAAAGTGGTGTTAGTTTATAACTACACCCATTATGTGTATTTGGTAGAAACATTTGTTTCATTTTTGTTTCAAAATGAACAGATTTTGAGAATCATAATTCAATTTTATTTACAGTAACTTTCCACCAATGAAAAAGCATAAATGAGTAAAATAGGATCAAGTACAAAATCCAAATTCTTATTTGTTTTAAGTCTCATCCACAATTATATGGGAAACGTTCACCATGTTACACTCGCAATGGCTATGAGGAGCAGAATGACAAAAGAATTGTTCCCCATGTAGCTTATAAGGAGTAACCAAATCCATCGATAACCAGTTTTGAATATAAGACCGAAGTCAACAAAAAGCTACTGCTTGTCAAAATCAAAATCCATACACATAACTACCCAATCACATCCCTTGAAAAGAAACAAGTAGAAAAAGTTACTATCCTTTTTCAGTGCATTATGGTGAAAATGATATTTTGTTTAATGTTTCCAATGGATATAATATTAATTTTTAAAAGTGAAATTTTTGGTATTATTCAAGTTTCGTTTTGTTTTTCATTTCATCAATTCATAATTTATTCTGATATTTTGAAAGGAAAGACAGGATAATGGACCCGATAATGGAGTAGATGGACCGTAGGAATCGTGTTTGTCCTAGTCCTAGATGGAGTGAAATTCCAGTTTTATCCTTTAGCGTATCAAGCGAACAGTATTGGCATATTGTCCAACTGAAAACTAATATCCACAAAATGGTTCGATTCTGTACTGTCCTCTCTGTGACATTGGATCAAGAGCAAGAGCTTCTCAATTCTTAACTATTGAACCTGTTACCATACCTAAGAGGCTAGGTGGTGCAACCAGGAAGATACTTATCTCCTTCTTGAGAGCAGGATATCTTATGAATCTGCACTGAATTCATTGTATCGTCGGATATAGCTGACTTACAGATGCCCTTGTATGGGAAAGCAGCTGCAGTCACTAAAGTTGGAATCTGGCACATCTTGAACATCTAATAACTTCAATATCGACAAATTAACTACTGGAATGTCTTCAGTTTGCCATTATCGCTGCCGTAGACAATATTCCAGAAGATGGTCATTCCAGCCTGGATGGCTACAGGTTACCTGAGAGGGTCAGGAGAACGTCTCCTGTCTGGTGGGTGCAGTTAGTACCCTGCAGCCATTGGAGGGCATCTCCTTCAATTGTGTTACAGGAGACCAACTCCCAAGCCACATATTTGTGTTGGTTACCTACCTGATGAAGGCAGGCACAGACTGAGTTCCGATCAGGTCCTCACTAGATTGAAGAAATTGTACCCTGGTCTCTCAATCTTGAAGTGGGTTACTCTTCACATATAAGGTCAGACACCAGCTGACCTGGAAGATCACTCACCTACTTAAGTGATCGGCTTCGATGAGAAGCTGGATGTATTTGAACGACATTGAATAGGTGTGAGCCATCATAAAGACTCGCGAGTTGCAGTGGAGAGTCGAATAGACTCACTCACTTTGGACCTACCCTACTATTACCCTTATTTTTGTTTTTCGACTTTTAAATATACTGTGTCTAATGTTAGTTAATATTATTATCACCAGTACACAGCACAAACGAAGTAGAAATGGAAGTGGAAAACAACAATCCTCCGCCTGATCGAATTCACAGAAAAATGTTCGAATGCGACGTCTGCAACATGAAGTTCTCAAACGGGGCCAACATGAGACGTCACAAAATGAGACACACTGGTGTCAAGCCCTACGAGTGCAGAGTGTGCCAGAAGAGGTTTTTCAGAAAAGATCACTTGGCTGAACACTTTACGACTCACACCAAAACGTTGCCTTACCACTGCCCCATATGCAATAGGGGTTTCCAGAGACAGATAGCGATGAGGGCCCATTTTCAAAACGAGCATGTCGGTCAGCACGATCTCGTCAAGTCTTGTCCATTATGCAGTTACAGAGCAGGCTCAATGAAGAGCTTGAGGATACATTTTTTCAACAGGTATAACTTTTTGAGATTTTTTAATAGAAAAATTATCTACGGTGCGGGCGTAAATAATAGTACTTCACTCGTCGCCGAGATGGCGCTACAAACATTTTTTCAATTGGAAGGGGGTCCTTTTGATACCTCCTTTAATAGGTATTTCAATTCTCTATCCAATACATTTTTATTGTTGGAAATCAACCGACTATAGATATCATAATTTAAAGAAAAAAATTTTACAAAACTTACGATTGTGTATCATGCCCTTCAGATGTCACTTATTCCCTTGAAAACATCTGGAGGCGTCATGTCGGCTAATCTAGGGATGTCTTAGGGATCAAAATGCCTGTCTACCGGTTTTGAAAATTGTCAAACCTGAATGAGTTTTCCATTATAAGGTTTCAGCAAGATGAGGTATCTTGTTATTACGAAGACAAAGTGGCTGAATGAAAATTATCCAAAGTGGTGGATAAGCAAACGTGGACTCTCAGAATAAGCCGCTGCGTTACCTGGTATAACACCGTCAGACAACTACAGTCTAGGGCAGAGCTTATGGTTAGAATAAGAGGTGCTCCTAACGAAATTACCCCAGAAATATTCCATAATGAATTTGTAAAACAAACTACATTATTGTCAGTAAGTTCATGACAACCAATTTAAACATGAAATGATTGTATTGAACTGGAGTGAGTATATAATAGTTTTTTTTAAGCTATGATATTTTTTATCGTTTGTTTGAAAATTTTTAAAAATTAAAATAAAACCAATAATTATTCAAGAACGGCTGATTCGAAAATGACAAAAAGTTGGATAGAGAATTGAAATACCTATCAAACGAGTTATTACAAGACTCTTTTTTTCTATTTTGAAACAAATTGGTAGCGCCCTTGATGCAACCAAGTTTCAAAACAGTCTTTTGTTGAGCACAAAAAAGCAACTTTGCCCCAATTTAAGCTTCGACGTATCACCTGTAGTTTAGGAGATCCCAATGGTGAATTTGAATTACCCTGTATAAGAATTCGAACCACTATATAGTTTCATTTGCGACGGATAATAATTTTAAAATGCGACCAGTCTCCCACTGCAATGAATCTTTCTTCTTTAAACAGAAATAAAGAATAATTTTTTGACATAATTGAGGTGTCTTCCATTTCTCTCTCTTGTTGTTGATGGATACATGGAAAGCATGAGAATCATAACTCAGGCTGCAGAGAGGTCTACAGTTGAACACAACTTCAGTGTGGCAAACAAAGTTGTGAGTTTCTCAAAAGTCAGAATTTGAATATCTAAAACAACTTTCCACAATCTTCCGAAGTGAGGAGAAGAAGAATTTTTGAAATGCCAGTTGATCTTTATGCTTCAGCTGCATCTTTCTTATACAAATGAAAAAACCTATTAGCACGAACAAAATTGGTGCCGCGAAAAATAACCGCGACGGGCTACAAATCGTTAAAAGGAGGCAATGGAAGCTTCTGACGAGAGGCTGGACATTCATTCAATGTAGATTGCCTTCATCGAGAAACAGACAAACACACATGTAAGTATATGCCTTGACACAGTGGACACCACAATAAATTCTGTGGTTTGTGAATCATCCATGTAAAAAAAATAAGGGCATAATTCATTATGAGACAGTTATAGCATCTGAACAGTTCGCGTTGAATGGCAAGACGCGGCGATAATATCCAGAATATCTGAGAGAACAACGATTGCAAAGCATGTAATCTAGGATGGATATGAATTTCATCGTAATGTTCCATAACAATCTTAGAAAGCTTGTGACCTTCGGAAAGGAGTAATAGGGCGAAATGATAAAAGGGGAACACCAACAATCTACCTTTTAACTTGGTCAGCAAGAATTCACTATTTTTTTAGAGAATGGAGTTTCTAGTTATCTATCTGTCTGAAATGAGTAGAAAGTTTTCGGTTGGGTTGAGTGATCGATTTTTACTGCCTACCCATCCAACCCGTGCTAGAAATTGCACAATTAAAGGTAAGACCTTGTTGATCCTTAGCTCGCACAAGTTTCTACTTTCGAGGGTTATCGTTCGTGGGAGGGGCGACAGCTGATTAACGAAAAAACAGATTTTGATCAGATTCTCGACTCATTGTTTTGAGGTTCAACTCAGTACACCTCGAACTTCACTGTTTAGCAATTCTTTCAGTTGGAGAACTGCGTGCTTTTGTTTTGTCCGTAAAAAAACTGTTGACAAAAACGATCTCTATTTATTTGAAAACGAGTTTAACAACAGTGAGAGTGACCGACTAGTAACGGAACAGTGAAATATCATTGACATACAAGTGAATAGACTTATTAGGTCATTAATCTTGCTATTGAATTCACAGAATTCACAGTTCTAAGAAATATTTCATCGATTTATGGGAAGTTTAGCACTCAAAAACTTTGCGTATATTCTTTTCCAAAATATGGGTCATTTAAAAAATTTTAATATTTCATGTAGATATCTATATTGGTGTAAAGGAATTAGTTCATCTTTTTTATACTCAATAGTGATATTCATATCACTATGTTCATATGAAAGTAGTTGTTTCGAAAGTACTCTTTCGTGTAATTTAATGTTCATAAAAAGAAGTAAATGATTTGGGAGGGCTTTTTCTTCTAGTTTTGATTTGAAAGTACCTTTTATGCATGAACTACATATCTTTGTGATAAATTTATTTTAAAAATAAATGGTTTCTTCTTTCTTCCGGTAGTTTCCCATATTTTTTGTATGAAGATGGAGAAATAGAAAGCCAAAATATTTTTTTCCAAAAGCTAATCTCTACTAAAAATATACCCCTCTCAATTTATATTGATATACCTAATTAAAATATTGTTTATTTTGGTCAGCACTTTTAATGAAACTGTAACACATTTTACATCTTTATTCACTATCAGAGCTTTTTGAGAACAAAAAATTGCCAAAATATGTCAATGTTACATTAATGTGAATTTTCAGACATGGTATTGACTTGGATAATCCAGGTCCAGCAGGTTCCCAAGCTTCGTTGCTCGCTGCAGCTGCTCAGCAAGGTTTTTCAATGGAGGGCACGCTCAATTCTCTTAGCCAGTTGACAGGTAGCCTCTCTGTGAGTGTCACTGGTGGGAGCGGAAGTGGAGGGGCCAACTATAGCGATTCTGGAGACTCCACTGGAAACAGATCAACAGATAATGCAACACCTCCCATGCATTTTTTGACACCTCACGTAGAGATTTCAATGGCTGATGCACCAGTACCTGTGTTTCCAGCCTCGCCGGTGAGTTTTTCAAACCAATATCAATTGTAGTGTCATGAAATGATAAAAAAATTCTATTCCATCACATCACTAGCCATAAGCTAATTTCTTTCAGTTGAACAGTTCTTCCAAAGCAATTGAATCAAAATTTTACTGGAAGGAGCGCCTGCAAATGTGTGTCTTGCTATCTACCGAAGTCTACTATCTCAAATAGAATTGTACAACTTTGTGTCTTGCATCACTTTTAAAATAACTATTATTTAGTTATTTAACTTTGGACTCTTCTAAGTAGTTCCTTGAGTTTACTAGACATGAGTAAAAGCTGTAATATACTGAATCTGAGTTTTACTGGCTAAACTCCATTTTAATTTTTTTTTCAAAATCTTGACAAGTAGAAGAATTCTCACAGTTTTTTTCTGAAGAAATCAAAATAATAGTTATTCCAATTCAGTACTGATGGTGCCACTACCACGAACGGAGTCATAACCTTAACAGGTCTGAAACAACCCCATATATCAAATGTATTGATTCAGTACTATTCACAGATATTATATTGAGAATCAAAAAAATAATGTACAAGTTGATTTACATCTTTTTCAATTTTCAGGGTGATCAACAAAGGACGGACCAACCCGGTCAAAGTGAGGAGTCTACTCAAAGGATGAATGGCGAATGCCCTAACTCTCCACAGTCTGCAGATTCAAATTCTAATGCTCCGTCCAGCAGCCACATTCAACCGAGTTCGCTCAGATTAGAACAAGAGACCAATATCACGCCTTCCATATCACTTATACCTATCAAACAAGAACCCGGAGAAGAATATGATAACTCAAAAAGAAATGGCTCTATGAATTCAAGTACTTCGCCTTCTGGAAGTGTACAGTTACAATCTGCAACTTCCAGTTGTCTCAGGTTAGCGAATATATATTTCATAAAACTAACATTTATTCTAGTAAAAGATATCAACTTTTGCGAAAATATAAGAAGCTGAACTTTTATTCAGACGATAACCGAATCACACACAAAAAAAATTATAAATTTCATTAGGTCAATCTAGACATGTTCGAATCCCAAGCAAACTTATACTCTGAAACCTCACTATGTAACCTTTCAGAATATTAGGCTAGGTTCAGAAAGGTACTGTGCTAAAATATCACCTCAGTTTTCAGTTTTGTTTACATTCTATCTATTGAAGAAATGAAAGTGGTTAACGCAATTGAAAAACTGAAAGACAGAATGACAACTAATAAAAATTGAATTAGGTCTAGCTCTAAAGTAGGAAATTTGCATTTTTCGTATCAATTCTGAAATTAGAAATGTTTATAAGAAAAAAAATCCTTTGTCAATCTTACAGAAACGAAGAAGAAATGGTTTCAACATAAATTATCCAAATCTTCTAACATAAGTAGAACGTGTTTTACTATCAAAACGTTTAAATTTTTTAATCGAACATGTTTAACCTTATATAAAAAAATATTATTTGTAAGTCTTTCGTTGTTTGATGGTATATTTCCTGAAAATTCGAAGATCTAGTTGGTCGTAAAAAAAGTGAAAGAAATAATATAAATAATTATTGACCCATCATAGTACCATCAGTATTTTTCAAAACCATGGAATATGCTTATTTGAATCAACTCATTTCCTTTCTGAAAGACAAGAAAATTTCAATAGTGGTGAATGGTATGCCCTATTTTTCATTATCTCAGCAGGACATTTGACTATTTGACCCCGAAAAACTACTTTTCATATTACAAGCTTATGGAATAGAGACTACTTCGAAAAAATTTATAGATAATTATTTGAAAAATAATAAAAATACAATAATAACATCAAAAATGAAATGAAAACGAGATAAAAACATATATATCTAAGTGCGAACTAAGTTTTCACTTGAAGTGCGAACTTAGAGTGGAACACAGCAAGCATAGAGCCATCAACGAGACTTGGGGACAAGGGAGATTATATGACCTCGTCTTCGAGTCATGAAAGTACAAATCTAAGTGATTCTTTAAAATGGCTCCAAAGCAGGAGCCGCAACATCGAAACGATGAAAATTACAGATGCTGTTCAACCCAGACAACAGTTAGAAAAAACTAATTTTTCTGAGATTTCATAATTATCAAAAAACATGTAAAGAATTTTGTCTAGAAGTGAATGTTAGTTAACTACAACAAAGTTGGAATGGTCACTGTGAGAAATTTGTTCATATTCTCAACTAAAAAATTTACGAAATATTCTGGATGAACATCAACTTCAAAATATTACTTTGCTCAAATGGAATCGTGGTTGAAATATAGAGCGTGTTTATGAGATTGGTCCTTACATGGAAGTAATTTTTTGATTGCTTAAAAGGGAATTATGTAGGCAATGTAGGCAACATAGAAATTATTTTCAAATGCCACTAACAAAATTCAAGATATCATACAGATCACCAGATAGTAATGGACTAACAATATATATTAAACTACCAAATATTCCATAATCAACTTCGACTTTGGAAGTGTTTAAAGTGAAAATGAAACTTTTTCTCAAGGAACATTGTTTTTATTCCATTGATGAATTTTTTAATCTATCTGTTTTATATCTGATTCGTACTTTGTGTTTGTGATAATATTGATATATTTTCTGTATATTGTTATTATTGTTGACCTTTCCTATATAATCAGTAATCGTCAAAAAAGAAAATTAGGATTAATATTATCACAATAATCTTCCTAATATTAACGCAAATTGTTGATTTTAGGTTTGTTCAGTGTCAGTTCAGTGCAGTTTGATTATACCCTGTTATTGAAATTTGTTTTTGTGCTTTTCCAACAGTTCTAGTATAATCCATAAAGGGTTTATTTTTTTCCAAACCGAACCAGACCGATAATTATGTTTTGGTAATTGGATTTTTATTAGCGGGAATTGTAACAGAACTGATTTATAACTATAGTTAGCAACGACCAATTCAGGCTTTGCTGAAATTTTCAATTTCATCTAGAATATCATCAACACCTGTAACCAACATATAATTAGCGAAAAGGTTAATGAAATTGAATCCATTAAATTAGTTTACTCAAACATCACTTTAAAAAATAATGAACGGTCCCAGTATTACTACCTTGGAGTGCTCATAATCTTATCTCATGTTCAATAGAAATTATCAATCACCTAAAGCTGCGTTCTCTTGATGAGAAACTATTCTAACCATTGCAATACCCTGCCTCCTATGTCATGGGAGTTGAAAAAAGTGTTCTTCTCCTATTTTTTCGAATAATATCTCAAAAACCATTATTTTCAATAAATTAATCACTTGTTTATTCAGCTGAAATCGATAATTGATTCATCAAGATTATTTTTGACCAACTTCATTAAACAGTTCTCTATTAAAAGTGTCTCCTCTCAAAAGTCTGCTGATACCAACATTTTAATCATTGAAAACGACTTAACTACTCTGAGGTTAACCTCGCAACTTACATGTCAACAGGTAATGATTTGGGCCTGAAAAATAATTTGAGAATTAATAAATCTGAATCAAGTATACTGATGTTCTCCATGCATGGTCACCATAGAAAAAAATTCCGTGTTCGAAAATAATACAATAAATAAAATACTACCTTCGGAAGTGGTTAACATGCTAGGAATTTCTTTTGATCCTAAATTGTTATGGTATAATAATATTGACAATTTATGCAACAAATTGAGAAGAGTTATTTTGCTTCGAGATTCATTTTGACTGATGTGAAAATAACTAACATTATATTATGGCCAATTCCATTCTTATATTGTGTATGGTGAACTTAACTGGGGTACAAGTTCCCATGCAATCAGAATTTTCACTCTTCAAAAGTATTCCATAAGAATATAGAGACTCTTGTAGAGATGCTTTTAAGAAATATAAAATTTTAATATTTATGGGCAATTACATTTTGAAAGCCTGCACTTTCATTTATGACAATAGGGCTATATGGAAAATCATGCTGATTATGAATATTACACTAGGGCTAGACATCAGCTACTCCAAACCCACATTCAGCCTTTTATCAAGGAAAATTAGAATTTATTGAATGCAAATGCCTAATCATCTTCCAGGTAGTGTTAATAATTCAACAACTAGGTACATCTTAAAAAACTAAAAAATATTGTTGTTCCGGAGAAGAATTCTTTAATTTATTGTCATATGTGATATGTCACTTTTATTGAATTGTACTTTTAATGTTCTGACGTATTAAACAGTTAACATAATAGAACTGCCTCTCCTAGCAATTCAATAGTATGTAATGTGATTGATATAATTTCAGTTCTCTAATAAAAGTGTCTCCCCTCAAAAGCCTGCTTCGGGACGATTTAAAAAGAAAGATAATCACCAGAAGCAGTACGAACCGAGGGCGTTCAACAGCCTCTCCCAGCGGTAATCCAGAAACATCTCCGACTGATGGTGCCACAACCACGAACGGCGTCATAACCTCGACAGGTCTGGAACAACCCTCTGATTCCTCATTATGGCGGTCTATGACTAAGCGATCGTTGAGTGGTCTGCAGTGCATATTCTGCGGCATCGGTTTTCCAGACCAGACGCTGTATTTCCTGCATAAAGGATGTCATTCGGACGCGAACCCATGGAAGTGCAATATTTGCGGGGAACAGTGCTGCAATGTGTACGAGTTCAATTCTCATTTGCTGAGCAAAAGTCATCAGTAAGTGAGGTTCATTATATTACAGATTTTATACTGTTTGTAAGGACTGATTTGAAAGTTCAAGGGTTTCTGGTATTGAATCCTATTCAAAAAAGTTCCAGTACGAGAGTACGAATCATAATATCAAGAATTGATATTCCACTAGAGAAATATTTCGTTTTCAGTTATGAATTGTACAAAAAAAGTTGGAAAAATTATATTTTCAAAAGCTGTGATGAGCAATTGTTATCCACAGATTCATTAATGTACAGGGTATCCCACTACAGGGTGACTTTCTGTAAATTGAGTGGTTGATTTTGCAAAAAGTATAAACAGAAAAATTATAAAAATTTTACCGTAAGAGAATCACATGAGGACAAATCAGCTGAAATAGTTTTGATAACGTGAGGGTATACTGGAAGTAGGTTCGAACTCTATATTTCATTATACATCTATATTGTACATCAAATTATATATCTATATAACCTATCTCACCGTTTAATATAGAAATTAAAATTCGCAGGACCTTCATTATTCAAATAACTACCTTGGTACTTTGCATAGTTTTTCAAATTCTGTTATAACAGGAACATCTACCGAAATATCTAAATTGTATCGTATCGAAGAGAGATGCATACGTATAAGATAATAAATATTTCGAAATAAAATCTCGAAGCATTCATCTCTCCCAACTACCTGCACAGTAGGTTCTCGTAAATGCCTGCCGGAAAACAACTAATTCCCTGGCTAACACCATGCTGGATATTGACTTATATTCGACAGACATTTATGCAAGATACCTTACTTGAGATAGGTAATAGTATAAATAGATCTAGAATTTGATGTAGTAAATTTGCAATGAAATCTAGTATTTCTTTTCACCAGAAGTGCTTGAAACTGTTTCAGCTTGATTGCCCTCAAAAGCATTGTCATACTAACTATATTGATATAATTTTCCTATTTCTGTTTTCCCAATTGATATAATTTTCCTATTTATACTTTTCCCAATGTGTTTCCTCTCAGTTTCTGGAGAGTGAACCTATATAATAGAATATGTGACTCAGATATCAGACAAAGAAAAAATGACTGGTTTCAATTTTTCAAGAGCATCTTTTCATTCAGTTAAGCGGTTAAGGGAATTGAGAAATGTGCCTAGAGAAAGAAAAAATTTGTGCCTCGAGAAAAACCTTAGTGTACAACATTCGACCTGATATTTGCTCTAAGAATCCGTCCATTGTTGAAAATGATAATATTGTTATGATATATTTGTTTGAAGAGATATTTCCTATACTTGAAGCTAAGATAACTGGTTTTTAATTGGCGGTATTTACTATAGGCAGGTAACAGAGTTTAAAATATTTTCATGTATTTTTTTTATTTTGTAATTTTGGTTTTGAAATATCATTTAGGAAGTGTATATTTCTTTCCTTAATTTTTAGAGCAGTTGAAACTATTTTAATACTTGAACACCACAGTTGATCTATCAGGTGTAAGCAGTTACGTATTTTACTTATACATCATTTTCAAAGTTAGCTACTTGCTTGACTCGTTATTTTTGTTTGAATGTGAATAAAACCCTTAGAAGACAAAAATAGTTAAAACTTTGTAATTATCCAATGACTCAAAATTAACAACATTTTCCAACACAAAAATACAAGTAGTATGATCCCAAGAAGGAAATTGAGATTCTGACCCATTCTTGCTAAGCTGAAGGAATCTCACATCAGACTTTTACGCTCCCCCACGTTTGAATAAACATACATTCAAACCTGTATGAGTACAAGTATTCACAACTGGCACCGTCGCAAACAACTCTGAGTCAGTGTAATATTTAAAAGAAAACAAAAATGTCACTTGATTCTGTATAATCATGTAACATTAATAAAGAAATTTTAATTGAGCCCTGTATGTCAGGGCAATTGGACGACATGAATATTTGACATTGGGTTCTAAAAAACCAGTTACCTGATTTTTCATTGCTCGTCAAAGATAGGAGAAAGATACAGTTTCTTGAAACATATTTCAGAAAATATGTATTCTTTTTCATTACTTTTTGTACATAGTTTAATTTTTTTGAAAATGTTTAGTACTCTGTTATCTTTCCATGAAAAAAATGCCGATTATCATCAAATTTTAGTTTGTAGTGCTAGATTATAAGAAATTGTTGAACAATAAGATACTTGTTGATATTTTTCAATACTATACATTCCATTATATTGCATTATAAGTGCAAATTAAAAACTGAAAAAATTTATAGTTGTTAATGTTAATGAAAATATTCAATTTTATGGTATTTGCACTGCCTTACACACATTCCCCATACAGAGTATGAAAATTGTACTATTCACAAAATATCTCCCAAGTTTCTTTGTCAAAATAAAAATGACTGTTTTATGTGAATTGAAATTGAGGTTTGAAAAATATAAAATAACTTGATTTTTGAGGGTTTCTCAGGTTAGCTCAGTCAATTGAGACATAATTTTTCACATAGCAAATTGGTAATATTTAAGAAGAATTCTAAACTTCTGGGCTTTTTTCACACTCTGTATATGTCTTCTGATAGTGAGCTTTTTTATCTTGTGAAACATATTTTTCTACGATATTCTCACCACCAGTCTATTAGGGCCCCTTGAAGAATACTATACATTCCCGTAAATTAAAAAATTTCAGATATTTTTCAGATTACTAAAAAATTATTACTGTTTTTTTGGTATATAACCTTCCACAATTTGAAAAATAAACAAAGCTACTGTAATCTACTGAAGTGTAAGTGCAAACTGAAATATTCGCCTTAACTAGTACATGGGTAATAAAAACCAGTAGAGTCCAATTATTCAGAAAAACAGTCTTTCCGTTTTTAAAACTCAAAATTCACTTGGAAACTTTCACCTCTATTAATTTAGCTTTGTTCATTTTTCAGATTGTGGAAGGTTATATACCCAAAAATAAACAGTAAGAAATAATGAAGGTATTCAGCTTTTATCCACAAAAACTTCGGAACTGCCGTTTTTGACTTATTTTTGGCATTAGAATACATCAAGGTAATCACACTTTGCAATTATTGAAATGGATAAATATGAAGAATCGTAGATACTATTTAATAAATAACAGAAATATTTTGTTACAACAATGGTTGATAGGTACCAATTCATTCATAGATAGGTACAATCTGAAAAGCCCAAAATTCTATAGTGAAATGACAGTACCCTGTCCCAGCTATCTTATACAATAGAATTTCCATATGTCTGTCAGACAACAAATCATTTTCTACTTAAATTCTTTCAATTTGGGAATTTTTTCAGGCTTCGTTTCACAGGTTTAGTTCTCTGTTGATCCCATGTCATCGCCTTCACTTACATAGGCTTGTCCTTTAAGGACAGTTGACTCCAGCAACGCATTCGTGGTCAGCCTAGCACCACCGATGAAACCTATGGCGGGTCGAAAGAGCGCTGTCTGGCGTTGAATCATAAATGCGTTGTGTTTGGGCTCCAGTTCACCGAGACCACATGAAATTACATGTTTGACACAAACATTGCAGTTGAAGTTGTAAACTGTAAGAATGGAACATGAACAGTCATTCCAAGAACATGCTTGGTAGAAACGTAACATGGGACGTGAAGTGGAAGTGGCTGTCCAGTGCAGCCTAGACAATCAGGCTGAACTTGTGGCACTGATGAACTTGGCTCCATATATATGCCCTGAACTAGCTGTGATGGTACTCACTGAACACTGACCCTTGAGAGGACACCTGAACCAAATAGTGCTGCACAACGGAGACCTTTTGACATACATAAATCATCGACACATCCATATCAGCATAAAGTATCAATTCAATAGTATGCTTTACAGACAGAATGTTCCATTTTCGGAAAGAAGTTTCCAAACACACCCAAGTTTATTAAACAAATCGTTGTTAGTGATGGTTAAGAGGTACATATTATTGACTCCATTCTCCATAAAAAACTACAGAAATAAGCTATGAACCCACAATAGTATGTGAGCAAATTTATCAAGAATGATAAAAACAAAACTTCAGTGTCAGGTACTTAGATTCAGAGTACAAAAGTTGACTTATGATCCTTGTCCCAATATTTTTGTTGGTCAAACGGGAAGAACTTTCTCTGATTGAATGAAAGAGCACGGAAATAGTGTTTTTGAATGAAAAAGAATATTTTATTATTCACGAATAATCTTTTGGCAGAGGGGCATGACTTCAATTATCAACACGTCACACTTCCAATACAAAGGTCAATATTTTCTAGATAGAATTTATCTATTGAATGACCTTAGTAATCTATACTACATATATCAAAAAATGCTCTAATTGAATACTTCTTTAGTTTTCTTATTATTTGTTGAAAAAAATCTGTTTTTCCATTAACCAGCTGTCGCCCCTCTACGAACGACAACTCTCAAAAGTTGAAACTTGTGCGAGCTAAGCACTAACGAGGTCTTACTCTTTAACGTGTGATTTCTAATACAGGTTGGACGATAGGAAGTGAAAATCGATCGTCCGGCCTCACGGCTTGAACCGCCGGTACACAAAGCGGTCGATTGAGCGAGTGGAGCAAACCACCCACGTCAAGCCATCAGGCTATCATTCCATTGTTTAACCATAACATTGTATAGTTATTACTGAGATATAACAAAGTAATTCACTACATATCATTTTTTATAAGCATACAAAAAATTCGCGATTTCATATGTCTATATTTCAAGGACAGCTCAGTGTACCAATTTTAATACCTAAAATAATGGTCAAATATAATGTAGTGATTGTAAAGCTATTCAGATGGCAGAGATATTAATTCTCATCAAATTAAGTACCATAGTTACCTGACATTTCATGCACATTATAATTGCCCTTTTCTCCATAAAATTGAAAATAATATCTTCGGAGTTATTGCAAAATTGAGACTAATGTGCGACGAAATAAATTGGCCTCACAAACCAATGTACACAAGTGATGAAAAAAGTTGCAATTACACTGGTATTGTTTTATGTAGTAGATCACTTCAAAGATTATGGTCGCATTTTTGTTTCTGGTTGTCTTTAAGAAGATAGGTACTTACCTATTTTAGCTCTGCTACCTATGCAAGCTAGGTTCACGTCGCTAATATTAAATAAAATGAAAAATTCACAACGGATCGATAATTCAGTTTCCTTCACATTAAATTCCAAATATTTTTCTTTAAAATCTTTGAAAATAGGTTTCATGGCAAATTCAAATATAGGATTCTAAATAATACTAGGTTAGCTTCATACAGGAGTATGGCTTGAAATGTTTTTAGAGATGTGCACGTTATTGAAAAAGAAAGAATACCAAATGCTTCAAGTTATTTCACTTGTGATCTAAGGTACAAAAACATTTTTAACAAAATTATTTATTTTATAGAAATTTACTTTCAATACAATCAATCGGTCAGTCTTAATATAGATATATCAAAAATAATATCAAAAAAACAGAAACTACAACATTATTTACAATCACGATTCAGATATTTCATTACTAATAACTGGGTTCTGCATACGATCAATGAAAGTAAGAATTTCTTTAATTTTTTCTTCTGTACTTTGCTGTGAGCTCCGAAGTTGATCTTGCTCCGATTTCTGATTTCTCAAGGAAATTGTCAATTGGGAATGGCGGTTTTGAAGTTGTGTTAATTCTGCTGTCAAGTTCTGTTTTTTCTCTTCTAAGTCCTTTTTTTCATTAATTTTTTCTGCAAGAAAATATTGTATGAGATGCTGCAAACAAATTATAATATATTTTGGCAACTGGCAATAAAGAAAATAGTAAGTAATCATGTATTATATCCACACACTCTAATTGACAAAGTTTATTGTATTTTTTATTAAAATTTCAACTCTCTGCCTACGTATAACATTTTGCTATGTTGATGCTTAGTGAGTACAAATAACATGCAATTTTCTTAAATATTCTGACCTTCCAGTATTCCACTCATGATCTGTCAGATCCTGTTGGCACTGCTTGATTTCATGACAATTGGAAGGGGAAGTAAGCTCTCATAATGAGTATTTTTGTAATATTCTTTATGATATTTCAGGATTAGCTTTAGAGGTTTGTACTATGGAGACTACAAACCAGTCTAAAAGACCGGGGTGACTAATGGCAACTATTTTTCTCTTAATGGAGGTTCTTCTTCAGGCGAACTTTTTTTTGTCCTGAATATTCATTTGAAAAGAATCTGAGATCAAATTTATCACCAAAATAATAAGAAGGACAGAAGTGGTCTATCAAATTGGTATAAAAAATTGGTATGAAGATGGTGACTTTTTTAAAGCAAATAAATGTATGTATATATTGAGTTCAAGTGAATTCAAAAATATTCAAAATATAGCAGCAATCCTGCTCTGAAAATGATCAACAAGTGCAATTAGAGTTTTGAATTACATCCACTTGCTTTGTTTTGAAAGCAATATTAACGAAAGTTACTAAAAGTGATTCAGAAGTTATTTCAAAAATGATTTCAAAAAACTGATGTATTCAACTGTCCATTGCAGTGCATTGATATTCATACAAAATATTTTTGATAACTTTATTTAAAACTTCTAATGGAAGCTTGATGTGACACACGTTATAAGAACAATCCATAGCAGTTCAATACAATAAATACTAAATGAATGTATTTATGTTTCAATACTTGTAGTTTTCCTATTTTCTTATAAGTCTTAAAACATATACAAAGTGCTTTGCAAGCCTTCATAATTATTTCACTGATAGTGGTGGGAGCAATGTACGATGAAAATTTCAGGTCCTCAAGCTGTTTCCAAGTGTTATGAAGCACAAAATTAGATTCAGTTTTTCAGTCAATATTTTGTATAGAAATTGGGGTAACTAAAACATTATTTGAGAAGTTTTGACGCATTTGTGAACGTGATAATCTGTCAAAGGAACTCAATCTCTCAAAGGGACTGAGGTTAACGAAATCAAATTTTACCCTGTAATATGAGTCACAAAAGATAACGTCATGGTATTGTTAGCTAGTAGTGGAAAAGGTTACCTCCTTTATGTTAAAAATATTGCACACTGTATCGGGACGATTCCAGAGAAACAATGTGAAATACTCAGGCCAACAAAACTATCAGAGAGGTAGGGAGGCGATAGAACAACGGGCCGATTTACCACCATTAATGGAATAAAACAAGTGGCCTGAACCTTAAAAAAAGTAGTTTGCACTGGACAACTGGGGCACTATGTCTATTGCAGCATTGCCTTTGATAATGTCGACTGCAGTTATAGACGAATCAACAGGAGTAAAAACCTGCAGACAACTGCCAAAACACCAGAAAATAGTTTTGACACAGTTATCTTTGGCCGTCAAAGTTTACATTCTTTGATATCATTTGATAGTTTTCAGTTATAAATGATGACAAGAAGAATCTGAATTTTGACAAACAATTACCGAATAATCATACACCATTTGAATACTGACAATTATTTATCAACAAAACATATGTTGAATGGATATCACAAATAAACATAGCTCTTTCTACCCACAGTGTAGTTATTTTAGGTATAATTGTCTGAATATTCAATATGGAAAAATATCATTATCATTGAATGAATTCATGTGAATATTTTTACAACTCAATAGTGAAATTTAATCTATCATGTTTCCCATACCATCGAATTTTCTAACCTGAAACTTCTGTGGGAGTAACATAGGATACACTCATTCCAGAAGGCACATTGAGGGATCCTATAGTTCTTGTTTCCTTGGTCAAACATTTTGGGCACTGCCGGGGTGTATGGGTTAAAGGACGGTTGTGACAACTTATGTGGAAGCCATTGGTACACACCTCACAAGTAGATAGATTTCCTGAAAAAAAAAATAGAAATGCTCAACACGAAAAAAAAAAAAACAAAAATTGTCACTGAATTTAAAAGTTATGTTATGAAACAAACAAATTTTTCCAAATGCCTGCCAGAAATTCTGAAACACTTCAAATGAATAAGTTGAAATTACAATCCAATTAAAAATGAATTCAATTTCAAAATATCAAACAGAACTGATCATTTCTTGATTAAAATGAAATACTCTTTCATTTTTACTGATAGTAACCATCACACTGAATAGATAGATGAAACCTTATGTGTCGATTTTTTTCAAGGAGGTAAATCCTAATCCAAGCTGATTGAACAAATTACTTGCATTTCTTTGGCAAGAAACCAATTGATCGTTTATATTTCTGATTAGATTATGTATAAATTTTGTTTGGAACGATACCTATTACAAAATAACTGACAAGAATTACTCCAATATATGTAAATACATACCTCAGAAAAAAAATCTGACAAAATTATATATAGTTTGTTAAAAAATAAAACATACTGTCCAAAATAAGGAGATCCAGCATATGCAAATCGGAAAGTCATTTTAGAACTCATTTAAAATTCAGGAAATCCCGATGAGTTCCCTAGATATTCAACAAAAAAATCGAAATTGACTCATTTCATTTGAATTTTTTTCTGACGTTATTCAAGGAGTGATTGAAAAAACAAAAAACACTTCCTCTTTTCCATTTGTCACGCTATTCAAGCTTCATTACAACTCAGCCTCTCTGGAAACAGTTTCACTGATATATCACATATAATCGAAATTTCCTGAATTTTGGAATGCCACTTAAACGAGCTAGAACACGGGCAATAGTAATATACTTCTCAAAGGAGTAGAATCATTTGGTAGGCTTGTAGCCTGGTGGGTTGATGTGAGTGGTGTTAGGTATCACATTAAAAGGTAAGACCTCGTTAGTCCTTAGCTCGCACAACTTTCGACTTTTGAGAGTTGTCGTTCGTAAGGGGGGGGGGGCGATCGATAGCTGGTTATCGGAAAAACAGATTTTTACAGAATAGATTCTACAACCAGAATATTTTTGAATATTCAATACTGAAATATTTCTCCACAATTTATCTCAGGAAAACCAATGAGGGTTTATAGTGAAATAGAAAAGTGAACATACATTTAATAATTTCATGGAGTTGATAAACTATCATTTTGAAATTAGTTTTCCAATCTAAAAATATTCAGATGGAAAAAGAGCCCCGATTATTTTCCTGACTCAAAAACTTATTAATTTGTTTTTCATAACGATTTTCACTTGAGCATGCGTTCAAACCACTTGAGGCACCTCCATAAAAAATCATCCTGTAAAGCGGCTGATCCCTTGATTAATACATTTACCTTCCTGTTCATTGCAGAACTAGTTTCTTCTAATTTAATGTTTGCAAAACTCTTTTCAATTAAGAGTTTTTAAATTGGATTATCACCTAATATTGGCAAAGAGTTGTTACATAATTATATTCTGTTATATCCTGAGGTAACTGAGATGCCTTGAATTCTATTTATCAAAACATTTTGTAAATTCTTCTTTAAATTGAAGAACTAACAGCTAAATTGGAAAACGAACATAACTTATGAATATCTCTATGTAGATCACTAATCTGTTTTGTTGGCAATCAAATAAACTAACAAAAAGAAGGAGCAAAAGTGAAGAAAAAATAGGAAAAACTGTCTTGAATTTATCAGCTAATTCAAAACATCAAATTAACAATGAATAATTAGATAGTTTATTTTAATATGATTCTATAGCAATTTCATAATGAAATCTGTAGCCTTTGTAGTCAGAAGGTAACCTACAAAATATAATTTTTATAATTTTTTGCTCGTTTCTTACAAATTTGCATGTAAAATAAATAAAAATTCAAACTGTTTTGATTAAATCTTGTTGCATATTGAAACCCAGAAAATAGAAAAAAATAGCCTACTTTCACTATTACAAAATGATTAGAAGTCAATTCAACAAATCATCACAGTTTGTCCATGAACAAAAAAAAATGCTTATTTTGGTAATTTTTGAAATTTTCTTAAACAAAAACCAGAAAAGATAAAACTAAAAATTGTCTTATGTTGTACTTTTGTTAGTTGATTTGACTTGGAATAGACCCACATCAAAAATCGTGTATAACTAGAGCCATAAAATCATACAGGAAAATTTTTATGAGTTAATTTATTTATTTTTTCTGATACACGATTTTCAAGTGATTGTAAACATGTAATCAAACTCAAATAACAAATCGGGTTGCAATATTATAAAAGATAAGTGGAGTCACTCTTACATTATACATCACGTTAAACTACTCACCTGACTGTTTGCACACAGTACAAGTTTTGGAATCAGGCGATGAACTGCCAGGGCTCACCCTTTCAATTATCAATCCACTGGGTAGATTTGGAATTGATGGAAAAGAACTGAATACAGCCTTATTTGCAATCTGTTCAGACTTCTGTGTTGACGTTGTTCCTGTTAATGGGGGTGAGTTTCTTTCTTGTCTCTTTTTAACTGATTGACGAGTATGCGGTGGCGAAATTGGTGAGATTAAAAAGGCGTTACGCTTGCGTTTCTAGAACGAACATTTTTACTTAGATGTGAATGATAATTCGTCATTACTTGATGAAAACTATAGAGCTTTAAAAAACTATATCATTTAAAATTAGATCCTAGCTGACTGATTTTCTCTTGTATGATATGAATAAACTAATTTTCTGTGTTAATATGGAAGCAGTGAAGGATTTTTCAGAAGAAATTAATTAAGGAGAGATCACCGATAAATAATAATTTGAAATATTATTGTGCCTTTTGAATCTTACACATTACGAATTGCCAAATAACTGTTGGAAAACAACGATTTTGCTGGATAATACAACCATAATAATAAAAACCCTAAATTGCTAGGAATCGCACGTTAAAAGGTAAGACCTCGTTTATCCTTGACTAGCACAAGTTTTGATTTCTGAAGGTTGTCATTCATAAGGGGGCATCGGTTCATTTGTACAGTTTTTTAAACTTACTTCAAAAAATTATTTTTATGGCTTCAACGAAAAATGGAATTGAATTCATAGAAATTATTTGGTTAAAATGTTATTAAATATGATAATTAAATATTTTCCAACCAAAGATTGTACTTCTACTCTTTGAATGTCAATCATTGATATAACGTTTACAATATTTACCCATATCATCATTAGGCCCATCATTTTTTTTTTCAGTATCTGTAATGTACAAAGCCAGACTGTCCCTATGGACATGTCGAAGGATTTGTGGTAGAACTTGGGGTTTAGGTCCCAAACAAATCCATTGGATTTATGTGATGATTGTCAGACCAATGAGCACTTATGGTGTAATTGCCTGATGACAGAGATAGGCTTGTCTGGCCATCAGTACCACACCGTTAGCGGTCATAAAGGTCCTTCTAGATCTACCTCCTCTCCACATTTTTCTGGAGAGGCTAGATGGACTGCATCTAGACTTGTGCACATTGCCAATTGCACAAATCAATTAATGCAGAGTGCAACAGACTGTTGGTTGACACTGGAAGTCACAGCATTCTGGAAATGACCTTGACTTTATACCTCCAACTTACAACTACGAACTGCCTTATAAAGTACTGTTCCCGAGTAGAGAGAGAGAGATGGATCAAAAACACCTTCCGGTTCCGGCGCAGGTGTTTTCAGTCGCAGACCCAGGGCAGAGATATCAATCTGCCTAGGAACCTATGCGACTGTATTTCAAGCGGAAATTTACGCTATTGAATTGTGTGCGGGGAGATGGGAAGAATCCAAACTCACACACAAGTCAATAAAAATATTCTCTGACAGTCAAGCGACGTTGGAAGCTCTTGGCTCCTACCGAGCAACGTCTAAATTGGTAGCAAATTGTCAAAAACGACTCTCCTCAATAGGAAGACTCTACAGATTGTCTCTGGTCTGGATTTCTCGCCATACTGGCTTGGAACGCAATGAGTTTCTTGACTCCCTTGCAAAGAAGGGTGCTGCAAGCAGCTTCATCGGACCTGTCATTGGCATCGCTTTATGCTTTGCCAAACAAAGATTGAACAGCTGGATGGCAAAAAGATTTATGGACTTCTGGCAGAATCTTCCAGGATTGGCTCACTCCAAGGCGTTTATTCACCCTTCGAAACTTGATACCAAACAGTTATTGGACTACAGTAGGGATAAACTACGATGTCTAACATCCTTTTTACAGGTGAATTATCATATGCAGAGACTCGGACTGTCTGAAGAAAGTGTGTGTCGCCTCTGTTCGGAAAATGATGAAACAACAGAGCAAATACTTTGTGTTTGCCCCACTGACATTTGTATGAATAATTGATATTGATGTCAAACAAGACTTCTATGAAATAATTATTTTATTATTAATCATCTACCTACAGTTCTTTTTCAACTGCTTTCAAAAAACCTCACTTTTTTGCAATATCAAAATCAACTTCCTAACCTTTACTTCACAATGTTTTTTAACAAATTGGTTGTGACAAAGGATTCTTCGTAATTAATGACTTTCACACGAGAGAAAATCAGTATTGATAAAATATCAAAATTGTTCGTGAAAATGAGACTGACCTTTATTCCTTCAAGCAAAATACAAAAACAAAAATAAATAAAAAATAAGCAAATACATACATTGTGGGTCAAAAAATCCCAACCTTTATTTCCATACAAAAATTGAGGGTTAGCGGTACTTCTCCTTTTCCTTTCTGCTCTCTTGTTCTGCATTTCTTTGTATACCTCATGAGAACCCAAGCCAAAGTAGTGAAGAAATTCAGCCTGTGATACGTCTTGAGGTTCGAGCGGACGAGCTTGGGATTCAGGAGAACACTGTGCCGATAAAATTTCATTGGAATCTTCCGAAGAAGAGGTAGCAGAGGCAGAACGAACTACACTGAAAAATATTCATAAACCAGTGAAGACTTTGAGTCGAATGAAAACTTACATATTTTGTTTTCTTGCTCGATTCAGAGCGTTGGTGAGATTGAATCTTCGTTCTTCTATTCCATGTTTAATGAAATTGGTTTTTATCGATTTCTGATAAGCTTTGTATTCATCCCTTAAGCGTTCTAACAAGGTTTTCTGAAATAACAATTTTATAAGGCATAACATACAAATCTACAACATATGACATTGTTGCGAATATCAAAATATTTCAACCAACGATTCTCTGTAGACTGATGTGGTGACTAGTTCCAGAGTATTTTTAGGATATTCAATATATCTTTACTTAGATTCCGTTGAACCTAAATGAAATATTCGTTCAAAAATGTGTGAATGAGAATATAACCCAAATCAATTCTGAAATTGAATTTCATTCCTTTTAACAAACATATCATATAAGTATTGAGTTTATTATTTTTCCACTTGACCCTTCTAAAAAAAATCTCGCGATTGTCCTACTATCAAAATCAACAGAAAGCGAATATTTGAAGAAAAAAATTCACCAAGTCTGCATGAGGCTTTTCAACTGAAATTTTTTCAAATATTTGGATGAGGTCAAGATGATAATGATCTGGCGACTTTTGATTTTTTTATGGGTCTGAGTAAAGTGAACATTAACCGGACCCTCATTTAGATTCAAAAGATAGAATTCAACAATATACAATTCAAATATACAAAAAGTAGCAATTTTCTTGACAGAAAATTTCACTAACCATATAGTTATGCCAATGATGCCCAATTTAGTGCTTCTTGGTCAACAACAAGTTTAATAATCTAAATACCAAAAATGATGTCTTTTCAGTTTCACAACAAAAAATCGGATTCGAAATTTTCAAAAGATGATATTCGATTCTTTCTCAACAATGTAGTAAACATTTCAGTGCCACAACAAAGAATAGAACTTTTTGTCAATATTTTCCTTACTTCACAAGATTGCTGTATATAGATCCTACTTAAATCTGGTCAATTTAGACATAGGAGGGTACAAAAATTTGCACCCAGCACCTGGTAGGATTGTACAAAACACCATCATAAATGAAATCTAAAAAGTCCTCATCGATCCAATACCTGGGAAAAAATTTACTCGGGGTCAAAGGTCACGAAAACGGGTTTTTCGCCATTTTAAGCAAAACGGTAGGTATTATCATAAAATTAGGTCAGACAAAAATCGTAGATCAGATAATTATCTATAAATAATGTCAAAATACTTTTTTCCTAACAGCCAACGTTTTTGAGATATAGCCATTCAAAAAGTTGGAAGAGTTATAATCTTCATAATATGCACACGTTTCCTCGCCAGATTTAGTTCACTGTACTGAAGTTTTTAAAAAGAGTAATTCAACTCCACAAGAAGTTATCATGCATCTTCGATGCATGTATGAAGCTCCTGAAAAACTATGTGCTTAGATAAGTTTCGATATGCATGTTTCGTTAAAAATACTTAAAATAAAAAACAAGTGCAATTAACTTGTCTTCCTCCAACCTCAGCTGCTGCTCAACAACATCTTTTACGGTGGCTTGGTTATCAGCTAGACCCAAAAGACTGGGGTTGGAAGTTGGTCGACAATACATTGGAACCAGTTCAGCCTCCCACATGCACCGGAAAAACTGCTAAACACAACTTTTTTGCAACTGTAGAAAGGGATGTAGTGTTAAATGTGGTTGTGAAAAAGTTGGACTGTTTTGTTCTCTAGCGTGTACAAATTGTCAAGGCCGATCCTCCAATGTTGAATCACCAACTAACAGTGAGGATTCGTTAGATATCAACGAGGAGACATGCAATGTATCAATATTGTATTAGAGACTTATGAAACAAGATGAATTAATTTCCCTTTTTTATAATTTAAACCGCTTTTATCATTTTCAACATTTGCCAATATCATTTATTATTCAATAGTTTCAAATTAAATAGGCCTACTGGAGAAACTTTGTTAAATAAAACGCACTAAGTACACTACCTCAGAGGTGACGTGGAAACATGTGCATATTATGACGATTACATCTCTTCCAACTTTTTGAATTAATATATTAAACATTTCATTGACCTACAGAAATACAGAAAATTTTACAAACCCTACACCCATCTGATTTCACACAAGTTTCATATCGTCTTATGCAGGCTGATGTAATTATAGCATGCACAACAAATTCGTTTCTTGGTATCCTTCAAATCTACTAAAGGCACTTGGAATACAATTTCTTTCAGATACCCCTATAGAAAAAAATCTAGAGGAGTATATCAGGGGAACAAACTGGCCAATGTTTTGTACTGCTGCTTCCTAGCTGCTCTGAGCAATTATATTAATTGGATATTGGATGTTGAGTAACAATGTGCAAATTATGGGAAAGAGCAACATCTTGTTACCATATCTTCATTGGTTGTTGAGACAGAGGGATATGTCCTAATATATTAGGTAAAGTTTTCAGCGGAAAATTCAAATACTGTGGTCCTGTTAACATACCAGCGTAAAAATATGGAACAATAAGTATCCACTGAGCTATCACCATTATTCACACTCCTTATTATTTGGAAACAAATTTTTAGGGATCGTGATTGGACCAGTGATGAGCGCTGTGTCTGTGTTGATCACATCATAATTACTATCCACGATAATAATTATAAAATTTTCACAATAAACTTTATTTAGGACGTGTTTTGTTGCATAGTTGGTGGTTCCAACTGATGCAGCAAAAACGTCTGAAATTAAATTTACTGTGAAATATAATTATTATACTACAATGTAATTAACTATGTAGTAACTACATAGTCAATTTTCATCAAGTAACGGATCAGTATATACTTAATAATAAATGCTTTTATTGAAAGGTTACCCAGTACAAGAGGTATTAACCTTACCTAACAAATGGCAGAATTCAACATCTGCACATGATAAATCAAGGCAGATATTGCTCTTCCATCCAACCAACATAACATCATTATTATGAAACTTGCTTTCATCCCTTCAACAGATTCGATTTAGAATACTTCGATTATCAATTACCTTGACTTTGAAGCACTACATAAATTCTAGTCTTCGTTTGAAATCTGTAAGCTGCAAATGAAGCAGCAAATGGACTTACTTGGTATGTATGTTATTTTTTTAATTATCTGAACTCCAAGTTCATGTGGCTTCAATTCAGCATTTGCCAGAGCATTAATTTTATTTTCTTCACTTCTGGCTGCTGCTCGATGTTGAGCATGTTTCTAAGTTGAAAGAGACCAAAGAGTATTTTTTTTTCTTCACAAAAAGTTACATGTAATAGCAGATGACGATGAGGAAAACGTTCATGGTATAATCGAGCTTCTTTTTGAGAATTCTTCTAAGATTCTCTGTACACAACCAACATATTAACATATTCGTTAATAGTCGATGGCAAAGGTGTTGCTGAAATCGTAAACTCTGTCTCAATCTGTGTCAACTGTAATGGAATAGATGAACTCACATTCTATTCATTGTGGAGAACTGACACTAGCGAGAAAAAATATTTTTCGTCTTCCCAATGTTCTGTGCTGCTGATCTTATTATTTGAATTGAAGTTTTTATTCAAAATACCGAAAGTACTTATAAATATATCAACAGTGACAGGGAGACTAAATAGGGTATGAATTTTTTGAAGGTTCCATTTCAAAAACTATAAAATTAACTTTTTTNTTTCTAGTTGTCTGTTTCTCATCAGTTTTAATATGTTTTGCAACAGCTTCAGTTTGAGAAAGGATTTCCAAAAATTAAAATTTCTCAAAATATTTTGAGTGATAACAACAGGGCATCTACAGGAGCTGGACTCGAAATGTTCCAGTTATGTTTTATTGAACTGTTTTACATTCAATGATTATTTGAGCATATTCATGTTGATATTTCGATTGAGTGAAATTGAATATTTTTATCATAGTATGATAGTATGTTGAAAAAAGAAATATATTTTCAATCCCCTTTTTGAAACGATCAAAGCTGTCAAGATGGAGTGTATGTATTATCTTTTAATAATAGTACATAGGATATACTTATCTCGACAGCTTCAGCTTTGATCCAACAAAAAATGATAATATGTCTGTTTCTCTTTAATGTGTCGATTAAATAATTCAAATACTCTTGTACGCGATTGAAATTGCAGACATAAACAAAGTCAAAAACAATAAATATTTGTGTTAATGGGTGGAATGCATAGATAAGGGCAAATGCTTTCACTCGACTTTCTGAAACAATCATAGATTTCATAAAGCTAAAAGAAAAATATGAAAAATTTATGTGCAAGATAAAAGTATACTTACATAAGGATCTAGTTCAAGTTTGGCTAGGAAATTCTGTAAAAAAAATTATTTCAGTTCATATTTCCAACAAAAAATCAGTTCTGAATTGAAGTTACTAAAATACATATAATGGGTTTCTTTAAAGATATATGAAGCAAATACAACTCACAATTCAATGACTCCAGAAGCCATTACTGCCTATGCTACTTACTTCCAGAACTACAAAAATTATTTTGAATACTTTTCTTTTCAGTTATAATTAATTACATTACTAAAATTAAATATTCAAATAGAATCACAAAAGTAAATGGTTTGTTTCACTGTTGTATTTGATTGTTGATTGCTCTTTCAATATTTATTTGCCTGAACTATTCACAATTCAGGCTAAATGTACTTTAGAAATTTTAAGAAATAATGAAATTATGTTCATGTACAAACAGATTTATTTTAAATTCTCTTTTTTCTTGTTTAGGAAGAGGTGAAAGAACGTTGAAAGATTCAGTTTGAGCTAATATTAAGGTCATCAACTCAAACCAAGATGCATAGAAATGCATCTTTTTTCAAATGGATGGATTTTGTTTCATTTCATCTGGATTGAATTTACTTTCATAGTTATTGAAGGCTTCAACTTAATAAGGTTTTTCAAGACAGTTTGGGAAACTCGGTAACTGATAAAATTAGAACCAAAAATAAAAATAAACCGAAAGTCTGCTCATAATTTAATTCCTTTTTTGCACTAAAATTTATATTCATTTTCAGAATACGAAGTTCAACTAATGAGATGTGTTATAGTATTAGCTAATGTACCTCTCAGACGGCATTATAAATTATAAAACGCTTTTTCAGGTGAATTACTTGATTTCTGTGAATATTGAAATTAGAAATGAGG